GAATTTTATCCAACAATCCTCTAAGCATGTCTTTATTTCAAAAAGGAATCAGTTTTTATCCAGTTCTGTTGGATGCAATGTTTACCAGTAATCATAAAAATAAATCTCGGTTATCGAAATTAATGGCTGAAGGTTTACAAAATAGAAACATTAAACCTATTCAGACGACAGTTTTTCCTAAGACAGAAATTGAAGCAGCTTTCAGATACATGGCAAGCGGTAAACACATGGGAAAAGTATGTTTACGACAATTAAACGTATATTATAAATTATTATTAAAAAAGTTGTGCGTAATATGTAATAAATTTCATATTTTTAATACAATGATATGTTTATAGATTATTTTAAATATACAAGAGGATGTTAAATCTTTGGATTCACCTGTTCTTGCACACCGTCGTTATTACTGTCTCAGCGATAGAACTTACGTTATACTAGGCGGCTTGGGTGGATTTGGTTTAGAGTTAACTGACTGGCTGATACTTAGAGGCGCTAAAAATGTCGTACTAACTTCGAGAACTGGAATAAAGAATGGCTATCAGCGAATGAGGATTGAGTTATGGAAATCGTACGGTGTAAACGTGCAGATAGTTAAAGACGCAAATCTTGCTAATCTCGAAGAATGTGAACACTTCCTACAAATGGTGGAGAAACAAGCACCAGTAGATGCAATATTTAATCTTGCCGTGGTTTTGAAAGATTGTATACTTAAGAACCAAACCATGGAAACTTTCACGGAATCTTTCATATCGAAGGCTTGGACGACACAGACATTAGATAAAGCATCTAGAAACATCTGTTTAAAACTTCGACATTTTGTAGTGTTTTCTTCCGTTTCTTGCGGAAGAGGAAACGCTGGGCAAACTAATTATGGTATGGCCAATTCGATCATGGAAAGAGTGTGCGAAAAAAGAGCGGAGGAAGGACTACCCGGATTGGCAATTCAATGGGGAGCTGTAGGTGACGTAGGTCTCGTCGCTGACATGCAGGAAGTCAATAAAGAGTTAGTTATCGGTGGGACTCTGCAACAGAAAATATCTTCCTGCCTTGTAGAACTCGAGAAATTTTTGCTCCAAAACCGACCGATCGTAAGCAGCATGATCGTAAATGAAAAGAAAATGGGGTTATCCGGATTAGACAACATGGTGGAAACCGTTGCTAATATTATGAGTAAGAATTAACAAACAGATTTTTTTTTGTTATAACATACTTAGAACGTGATAATTTTTTAATGTATTATTTACTTCAATATCACAGCATCAAAAAAGTCATTGTTGCACGCACAAATACGTACACAAACACATACACCCTTACACGCACTTGCATGTGAAATATGTTGTTAAATTTTTTTTGGCATAATATAATCAGTCACAATGTGTTTCTATGAATTTTGTGTTACAGATATAAGAGATATAAAAGTAATAAGTCAAAGTACACCTTTGGCTGAACTTGGAATGGACTCCATGATGGCTGTGGAAATCAGACAAACATTGGAACGAGAATTTGATATCTTGCTCACTCCACAAGAAGTACGAAAACTCACATTTGCAAAACTGAGTCAAATATTTAATGCAAACGTTAATAGCAACGAGACACAAACTGAAGCGGCAACTAAAGCGGCAACTGATATAAATAAGCCAGATCTTACGAAAGCTCAGAAATTGTTATTTGGTATTTTGAGAAATCAAGATCTTGTTTCAGAAATTTGTTTAGATCTTCAGACCAACACAGTGGATAACTCGACTCATGTATTTCTTCTACCAGGACTTGATGGCTGCGGAACAGTATTTAATCATTTAGCACCAAAAATTAAATTTTTGGCTACATCCTTGCAATATGGCAATATCGGTGTTGCAAGCACTGTATCCGAAATGGCTGATTATCTTTTAATGGTAATTGTAATAAGTAATTGTAATTAAACGTCTTTCTAAAGTATATAATCACAGTAATTATTAATCTGTATTGTTTCTATTCCAAAATTTTATTTAATGCTTTGCCTAATTATGCGTTTTGGTTTCTTAAAATTTACATTTTTTATGTTATATTTTCAAAATTTATTTTGTCCTACTTTCTTGTTTTTATTATTATTAAAATTTTTCTATAGACGCGGCGACAGTTTTATGCCATATTTATCCATAACAATATCATCATCGGAAATTTGATTTTTACAGTGCTATCCGAGCAGCATGGTGTTTTGACATTTATATTTGTTACTATTAAAATTTTTATATTGTCATATAATTTTGAAATAGAAAATGGTATTTAGCTTACAGATGCAAAAATTGCTACATAAATTTATTTTTGTCTTTGTTTTTTCAGTGTATATCATCACGGTTAAGAGACGAAAAGAAAGTCGTAATAACAGGATATTCTTTCGGTTCTATACTTGCAATTGAACTAATAAGAAGATTGGAGGCTATGGGTACTAAAAGTCGATTAGTTCTCATCGATGGAGCTCCGGAATATATAATGAGAAGTGAACTCAATAAGTTTTGTTATATGAGCGATAAAGAAATTCAAATTGATATTATGATCATTATTCTAAAGATTTATGAAACAGAAATTGGTGAAGAGGTATAACTCCATTATTTATATCTTTGAATTATTTAAATTAATACATTTTTTATTGTCAGATATTTATGTATGACTCATTTCTTACTGTCAGTTTTATATTGTAAATATTTCTCATTTTATAATAAGTTGATTTTAAAAGTAGAACGTATAATTTGACAGGTTCTATTGGAATTAAGAAAATGTGAAACTTGGAAAGAAAGATTTGAAATTTTCGCCAAATACTTTTCAAAAGTAAATTCACTTCTGTCGCGCCCAAATTTGCAAACACTGTATGCAACAATTTATAAAAATATACTGGCTATTCGGCAATATGAATTTTCTACATTACCGCGTATTAAATCACCCATAACGTTGTTAAAACCTACGTTGTCATATGCACCTGAACTTGAAGAGGATTATGGTTTATATAAGGTATTTTAAGAAAACATTTTATCAGTATTCATTATTTAATATACCAAATTTTACAATATTTTTTGATAAAATTTATAACGTTTAAGATAACTGAAAACAAGGTGGTAGTACATCACGTCGAGGGTAATCACGTGACGATCTTAGGAAACGAGAAAGTGGCGGCTGTAATTAATGAAGAAACGTTTTGATGTAAGTAATTTTATTATTGACGTTAATACCAACTATATGGTCTTATTTAAAATAATTGTGTCACTGTTTCTGAAGTCACATGCATTACTGTGATTAATTTTGTAACTATGTAAAAATTTTTTATTTAATTTTTTTATCTAATTTGCTTTAGATTGCACATTAAAAAATCATTATAAAATATCAATTAAAATATTTTGTTATTTTGATAAATATATGCATGTAAAATTTTATGTACTATATGAGTTCTATTTATTATTATCAGTATATTTGCATAAAACATACAATTGCTATGTTCCTACCCAAACTTATTATATTTCAGAATGAGACTTAAACAACTGTAACAGAACTTTATTTTTCGCTAACAGGTCAATACAGAGTTCGACTTCTTATTTAAACGGTTTATGAGATGTACAACGATGACTAAAGGATAGATTTTGTACCTTCTATGATATCATCGTACCTTGGTTTTTGGTTTTAGATAAAGAATTTAATATTCTTTACTAGAAACGGAATTTTGTGTAATCTTTTGAGGTGGAGGAATGTGTTTAAAGTTAAAATACAAGCTGTGGTTTAAAAATCATTTAATTTTAGAAATAATAAAGTTGTTGTTATTTACTTGAGGTATATTTCAAATGTAAACAACTAAATTAAATATATAAAAAAATAAAAAAATAAAGTTTTTATTAATTATTTGTATTGGATTGATTAAAAAGTTTCTTCAGATTTGTCGATGAAAATAAATGTAAAAATTATTTTTTAATTATTTTTAAATAATTTTAAATATTTGAAAGTTATTTTGATGACTGTTTATGAAAAAACTTACAATATAAATGTAGTAAATGTTTGATATACTTGATGTAGTACTATATAGGTACATATACTATTCAATAAATTAATCGGAATTGTAAAAAGGATTGTTTTTTTTGCATTTATGTTTCTATATTCCTTTCGTTCATTGTACGGTAATATTTTTAACTTTACGTTCGCGTTTGCAAAATTGTTTGCAAAATAAATATTTTAAATTTATGTTGATAACGCGTGTATTTTCACAGTATAAAAACTCTACATTTGCTTGATGAATATGTCACAAAGATATGTCTGCATCAAACTTTTCAAAAATACATATTATACTATTAATGTAAATTTAATAATTAAATTCTGCAAATAAAGGCAGTTCACAAGCACTATATGCCAAATTACATTAAGATATTTAACTCAATTTTTCAATCATTATTATGCAGAATTTATAAAACAAGAATCGGTGAATAAGTATACGTTTTTTGCCTTTTATTTTTAAAAATATTTTTAATTAATTTTTTTTTGAGTTATAAATGTTGCATTTTAAATAGAACTTACCTTCTATTTTATTTACGTTGTCATAAAAACATTGCATTTTTTATGAACTACACAAATTACAACAATATGTGTACAAAATCATATAAATCACATACATAAATCATTACGCTTTGTATGTTTTAATAAAACTTATCATCTTTACTCTATTTTATTAGCGTTGTTAAGAAAATGGGAAAAAATTTATTCTACTTTAATCGCACATCCCCCCCCCCTTCCCCCTCTCTCGTCCCACTTGTTCCACTCGAATTAAAGGTGCCTCAGTATCCTTTCATTTCTTAACTTAAACAGGACTTCCTTCAATCCCACTATTAATGATGCAAAGAAAATGACGCATTTTGAACCACTGAAATTGCAACGCTCCACCATTCTTTTCGAAAAATAATCGTTTAATCTAAACAGCACCTCCTTCTGCCCCACTATTGATGTTATCATGAAATCGTCGCAACATGCCTCGGACCATTCCAGTTGCAGCACCCCACCTTTCGCGCAATATCCTTCCGCGTGAATCGTCGACTGATCAAACAAGACTCTTCTCCTACTGTACTATTATATAAACATGTCCACAAAATGACGCTGCTCGGACCACTCCGGTTGCGTACCCCACCTTTCGCGCATTATCTTTTCGCGTGAATCGTCGCTTGTAATCTAAACAAGACTCTTCTTCTACTTTATTATAGCATGTCTACAAAATGACGCCTTTCGGATTACACCAATTGCAGTACTCTACCTTTCGAAGGATTTTTACGAGATTTTGCAATTTTAACTAGAAAGCGTGTTATCCATAGAAGGTGCTTTCAACTCGATCCACGTATTAAAAGATATAAAAAATCCGAAGTAGTCGGCTCGCGTATATTTTGTTAACACGAGGCACAGTCATTTTTTTGTATTTTATGTAATTATAATTAAACAGTATTGTATTTGTATTTAAATATTTATTTGTTTTTGTATTAAATTTAAATGTAATTGTATGAAAAATTTTTCTAGCTTTTTTAATTTTAATTTTACAGACAAAAAATTTCTTTCTGATCACATCCAATGATTAAAATAATTTAAATGTCATTTGAAGTACAAAATACTATTTAAAATAAAATAATACTACATACTTACACGAAAGCACATGAAATTCGACGAGACTCCGTCAAATCAAATACTAACTGTCTGATTGATAATTAATATACTCCAATGCGAAAAGAGAAAGAAACTTGCTCTCAATTATAAGGATGAGATATTCGAGTCTTTGCGAGACCTGCAGTCATTTGAAAATAAAAACTATCACGTACGTCATGTACTTATTAAAAATAATTATCGAAAACATATGATTTATGCTGAGTCAAATGATAGAAATAATTATTTCGCAATTAATTCACATTCTAAAGTAATGTTTTATAATATTAACGAAAGTGGCAAAGTAAGATTTTTTCAGTTTACGATATCGGATTATATTAAATTTATATTAAATTTCATTGTAACGCTGATTAAACATAATGATACACCTGATAGAACAAAAATTCTGAACGCGCACATATTATTTACACCATTTGAAAGGAAGTAATATACACAGCTTTAGTTGAATTGAAAACATTATTAGACGCTATATCTGATCTTAGTGATGATAATGAATTAAACTATGCGACAATTCAAAGCCTTGAACATGTTAAGAATTCTGCTAATATTAATCCAGAATTATTGCATTATGACGACGATAATACAATGCTTCATGAATATCCGATATTTTGACTATTTTGTAATTAAGGTAAGATATATATTTAATGCTTTTACGAACTTTTCTCCTTTCCTTTCTGCCGTAAAAGTGTAAATATTATTTCGTAAATAAACATTGTCAAAATACATGTAACAAGAAATAAAATTCGAGAAAAATTATACTTTAGCTTTTGTAATCAATTTTATATGAAAAGTACAAGAATCAATTATTTAACGTGTGTTGCCAAAACATCTTACACCGAGACAATAGAAGCGAAATAAATTATTATGATCATCATGGCAGATATGACGTGCACATTATTATTACGTTCTCAAACAAATTCGGAAAGTAAAAGGCGAAATTATCTGTGTGGAATATGTGTAAAAGACTTTTAAATAACAATCGACTGTTTGTAGTTCAGGTAAGATAAGTTGTATTTCTAATGAAAATTAGTTAAAATATATATACAACGATGAATATAAAATAATAATTTATATAATATACATAATATTTGATTAAATTTCTCGGGCATCGCGCGCCCAGTAAACATACAACAGACAACAGTGTAATAGTAGAATATTGTTATTACGTTAACGTCAAATATATATTTCCTTAGTTGTATATCAATTACTCTCGCAATAGCCAAGAGCTATTAATTACTCTTGCAGTTAATTATTACACGAAAAATAACATTCACTTGTATACACTCATATTAACTTCAATTATGCTCAATGAACGATACATGTAGCAGTACATGAAAGGTAGTATAGTGTCAGGCCATTCTGGCTTGTTATGGGAATGTGAATGCATTTCTTCTTTTCTATTCTTTACAAAAATAACTTTCAATATATATCTGAGATCTGTAAGATAATAGAAACAGTGCTGATTCGTACAATTCAGAATCCAATTTAGCGCTTAAATTGTTACGCAGTATACAGTTAGATGCGTTTTCATACGAATGCACAGGCCCAATATTCTCATGTAGAAAAGTATCTATATAAAAAATTCGAAGGGCTAATGTTATTCTGATGCCAGCAGAAGTGTAATTTGCAGGAACCATTATCTTTCAGATTTCTGTATGTTGCGATGACGACGGGTCTGATTGACAGTGAAACCAATTGCCGATATTTAAAGGCGTTACTTTAATAGCAACATTTATTTAGAGTTAAAAAAAAATTATTGTTAAAATAAGATCATTAAATAGATCCTATTTATATACAAACGCGTTGATAAATCTTTCATAAATAAAATCTTTAAAAAGGCAATGTGCCTGTTTATAATAAATATTTTTAGCGGGCTAAACGTGCCTACTAATTCTTTAAAATTTTTCACGCATCTCGTCAATTTTCTTCATTCGCTAGCTTCGCAATCCGAATTGCTGAACAATGAAAGTAACGCCTTCACTTATCGCTTCAAGTGATTCGGATGTAAGTCTCCCTATCTCCAGGTAACGAACCTGGCTTTTCTTGTGAGCAGAAGAGATTCGGAATGCCCTACAGAAATGCACTGATTCCTAAAATGTGTCCTCCCTTAAACTTAAGTTACTGGCATATGTACCTGAGACGACGTGCATATACCTTTCGCGCATCTCGAAGGTCAGAATGCATTGAGGCAATTATCCTTGACGAGATAAGTCACTTCAGTGTGTCGAAAAACTACATCAAAAAATTACTTGTTATATCTCGAGTCACGAATTTCACTTTTTACAAACTACAGTTGAGTAAATCAGAGGCGAATTTAAGTGCCGACCTTCACTCGGGTCCCTAAAGACGCGGAAACGTTAGTCCGAAAAAAAAATGTCTGCGTTTTCGTAATAGCATCGATAAAAACTTACGCAAGTAAACCGTCGAAGACATCTCGAAATCATTTTAAGCAATCGCTTTGTGCAAAAACCTTAAATTCGCCCCTGCGTGTATAGAATCTCCCTTAATTTTGTACCTCGGAACTTAGTATACTAAGCGGTGATGTTTACCTTCGACTACTTGTGATTGCCTGGTGGGAACTCGTCGTTTAGAGATTACTTCGCGCGAGAAATATCGCTTGCGATAAAATAAACACAGCCTCATTAATTGAAGGATTCGGGGAGAAGAAGTATTAAAATATATATATACTTTAGCTCTCTTGAGATACGACGGTACACGTTACGCCATACCTCGCGAGTTTGCAATGCCTGAATTTGCTATATCTCGCATACCCATTTACAATTATACACGCTAAAGATTTCTCGAAAGTTGGAAGCATAACATCAGAATGTACAATTACAATTGCGCGACTGTTGCACAATGGGAAATTACGGGATCTCGTTTATAAAATACTTTCAGTATCCATTGCTGCCACAAATCAGAAAGGAAAATCGTAAAATCCGTTTGTTCTTTTACATGAGTGCGTCAACAGTCATATCATCTATTTTTTCCCCTAAGTCACAACACGACTGCATCATATATTATGATGTGTAATCCAACGGCGTAACACAATATGTCAAATTTTCATAATCGGAAATTTCAACAAGATAGACAACAAGCCTTGCCACTGTAGAAATATAGTATTTCGCAGCACATTATTACCGAGTGCATACACTGAAAAGCTAATCGCCTAACGAAGAGGTATTTGTTTCTCTAGTTCTGATAACATATATTTTTTCCTTCCTAAGCATGAATCCTCTCATTTCTAAAAATTTCTGAATTTTGAAAATATTTTGTTTTAATATATATTTTTTAAGCACCCAATCATATAGTTGAGTTTGACAAATGTCTTTAGAAATAAATTTAGAAATTTTTAACCCATTGTTATGTACTCTTACGCCGAGTGTTGAACGTGCGATATGCGCATTCCCAAAAATTTCTTCCAAATTTAACTCAATAATCAATTTAGAAATAGTTTACATATTTTAAAACAATTCTATTAAGCTTAGGAATGAGAGGCTCCGCAGGAAGGAACGAGAAATTACAAAAGAAAAGTGCCAGCGCAGTAACTAGCTTTGGGATGCTGCTAAAAGTTACTTGGCATTCGCCGAATGCGATCTAATATTCTATTCTATTCTGAAGATTACACCGGGAGGGAAACGGCGGGCTTCGATGCTCGTCTCTCACATATCAAGATGATAAAACGCGTCATTCCATAACCACCCTTCAATCAGGGCTCGCCTAAGGGCGACGTGTGTGACGGAGGGACCTAAAACTTATATTGGGTCCCCCCAGGCCCGTCTCATTCAGCCGGCGTGCTTGCCGCCCACCTGTCGAACTCGATTCCGGAATCAGGACTGAGTCCCAGATCGATGGGACTCAGGAAACTCGGCGCCGGACAATTGCAGGGCCCGTCGGGTCGACACGCCCCGATGCATCTCTGGTCGTTGCCGTTGTTCTGTCGGTCGCCTCCTCGATCCCTCAGCTCCCGCTCGAAGCTGTGCAACTGCTCCATAAAGTGAAAATTTGGTGCGACATTGGACTTTCTACTCCGTACGAGGTTGAAAGCATCGTTCAGACTGAGACTGCACTTGTGCATGAGGTAAGCCACAGTGATCGTGACAGATCGAGACACTCCGGCCAGACAGTGAACCAGTACTCCCTTGTCTGAACTTCGTGCTTCCTCTGAAAAAGACACGACAAATCATGATCTTAATTCTAGAATCAATTCAATCAATCGCGCGCGTTTAATATTTAAGCCGCCATTGCATGAATTCTTTTGAATAACACGGGGAGCTACGAAATGTGTAAATTTATTTTACAACCGTTTCCCAAAATCTGCATTACGTTAAACGATTTCTCAAATTAAATAATATCGGAAAGATTAAAATAATTGTTGATGACAAATCTTTGCAATATTAAAATATAATATTGTTACTTGATAGCTATTATCAAATTAATTTTATAAATGGGAAATAAAATCAACAATTTAGTTACGTTATATTTTAATATGTTAAATATTAATTAATTCGAAAATTGTCAACTAATTAATTAAAGTTCAAGTGCAAAATATATTATAGGAAACAATGCACGTCCCGACAAATTCGTCCAACGGAGGTTTACAAAAGAAAGTCGAGTATTGAAATATGTTGGGACAGTCAAAAATGCCAGACCAGCTCAATAGCAATGCCAAAAACCTCGCCATTCAGACTTAAGTATAGCTCTCGACCTAACCGGACATCCGTTGTTTAATTGTCTAGCACAGCTTGCCCGCCACGTGGGAAAGTTTCTATTTAGGCGAGCCTATTTATAAGAATGCCCCCTTTCAGAAGCTGCGCGGGGACTTTCTTAAACAGGAAATCCTGTTTAAGAAGTAGTCTGAACCGGGAATTTGACGCGGAAAAAGCTCCGGCGCGATGAATAAAGCTAGTATTATTCGCGTATCCTATCATTTCTCATACTACGTACATTAATATACCATAAAATGTGAATTATTGCAAACCAAAAATTGTATAAAAGGAATTATCTCTTAATTTGTAATAAAAAACATATTTTGCATTTTGTATCTTTGCAAATATTGGCTCACTGATATATTTTTATTATAATTTGTAACTTCTGTATGTCTTCATTTTACTGCGATTTTTGAACATATTAATATTAAATGTATTAACTATTAAATTATGTTATGTTAAAATTAAAATACGATTTTACGATTGCACGAAATACAATTCAGGAAACGGAGAAACACAATGACGAAACATTCATTGAAGATACAGTAAAAGTATGAGATACTAATTAATAGCTAAGAATTTTTTTTTCACATCCGTGGGAAACGCTTGATTCTATACGTACGCTTCATGCAATGATTTTCACAAGGAATGTTTTACGCATAACATGCTTTCAAAGAAATGTGATAATTTATTTAAAAATTTTAAGATCAACTATAAAATGTAAAATGTTTTTTTTTTCAAAAATTTTTATGTTGTTTTCAACAAAAATGACTCGTAATACATCGGCATGCTGTTACTTACCTATAAACTGAATCGCCTGCGGGAAGAAACTAGCTAAGTTCTGACTCCAGTGATCGCTTATCGGTATCTGCATATATTTTATCGAACCAGCGCTTTCAAATACATTTGGCAAATCCGGCGTTACATTGAGTATGTATTGTATCCTGTGCCTCGCTAAAGCTTCGCGATCCTCACTATTAGCTGCGTTACCGAGATACAAATGAGGTAAAATTTCCACCGGAAAATCTTTGTCTTCTTCAGGACCTGCAAAACACAAATTTTCTATCATTATACACAATTATTGTATAATATTACTCATGCATTATTCGTTTTTTAGTACTTTATTACATAATTCGCATCAATTATACAATCGGCATACACATTTTGAAAAAAATTTTGAAAAAAAAATTTACTCACCAACTGAATCACACGTGCTGTCACTATCAGAATCCGAATAAGACCTAGTTGGTGGAGTAGATATCCGAAGTGATCTAAGACCCATTAATTCTCCATCATTATTGTCCTGACCTGGTGTACATTCATTATTAGCTTGACAACCTTCACACCATTCTGGATATCTATCTCTGAATGCTCCAAAACCTCCTAAAAATATACAATAATAATTATTTCAAACAAAATTAAAATCGATACACATAAAGTTCTACCTTTATCTATATAATAATTAACATTCTTTTTTAATATATTAGTGTTTTAATTCAAATTGTGATAAAATAATTTTATTCTACATAATCAAAAAACAATTAATCTTCAAATTCATAATCTATTAAAAGTTTCAAAGATTCTATTTTAATAGTTCCGCCAGAAATTAAATATCTTGTATATAATAACATTAAGAAAGTTAATATTTAATATTTATGCTTTCATAATATTAATTAAATATAATTTTCTTAGAATCTTTATTAAAAATATCAACAAAAATGCTAAGAGAAAAAGTTTTTATTTTATCTTGAAACAAAAGCCAATGTCACGCTATTTTTTAAAAATAGAAAAAAATTAGCATATAACTAATGTGAGACGTTCTTCCTTTCATATATCAACTAGAATAATATTAGTTATTCTTTTAATCATATATATATATTTAAATATGTGTAGGTAGAGTAAATTGTGGCTCATGTCAAATAAAACATTGAATGACTGAATTTTATCTGAAACCTGATAACAAGTATAGCAGGGTATAGAGTTAAGTGTCTGGTTCTACTGGTATGCCTCCCACATAAATCAATATTTCATTCACAATCAGTCTCCATGCTTCAGCTGTTACTTCTGAAAGCCTTTCTACACCACTATTACTACTGCTATCTATGCACTTATATATGGCAACAAAATCATACAGATGCAAAGTTATAATTAGCAACTATTGTGTGATGTTTCACATGTTAAATTTAGAAATCATTGTTAAACCATCATTATTGACAGGCATGGCTGTTTAAGATATCAAGTAATAATTTATGAATATGTAAAACATTAATATTTATCTGTATATTAAAAAACTTATATTTATGTGTACAATTATGCAAGAATAAAACAATCAAAATATTCTAAAAAAGTTTTAAAAATATAAACACTAGCTTGATACATTCCAATTCAAACTGTATTCAAACTGATCTTAAGACACAAATGGTCTTAATATAAATCAACTGACAAGAATGAGACTGAATGAGAATAGGATTATCCGCACTGTCATAAAAGTGTGTCTCTTACCGATTAAAACAGCAACATTGCCTCCACTGCTTTTAAGTCTCCGGCTCAAAACTTGTATCGTTTCACCTTGGTGGCCTGCAGGATCTGAAGAGTCACCGATTAGTACAAATGTTCCTCTATTGCTTTCATCCCCACACAGAAACACCTCCACTCTATTTCTCAGATCCAAGCACCTTATCGTGGACAGGAGGTCCACCTTACCAGCAGCCAATCTCCGCAGCATGATGCTGGGTATGGCCAGAGGCACTGAGCCTCTTATGTGAGCATCAGAGAAGTCAGAATGTGCTCTGCAGTCTAGGATAAGAAGCTTGTGGGGACCATTTTGGGATCTGAGCTCTCTAAACAACCATTCTGGACCTAAGAGGTCCTCATCCATTGCACCACTACCTGGCATATTGCGTCTGTCACTTGTACCCTCACACTCTTTACTGCAGCCTTTTATTCTTCAAACAGCACTGTCTTACTCTACAAATAGCTTCTAGGCGCGATAATTTTTTCAGTCACTGAATTTCTCTCACAAAGACGTTACTTTTCAGCCTCTGCAGCATCGAAGTTCTGTCATCTCTGGACGCAGCATCTCCAATAAATGACACGCGGCAGAGTTGTCAGGGCATTATCATCCCGCCACGACGATCACACCAACATTCCTCGGTTGTCGTCACACGAGAAGTTTCTAGATACCGACTCACGCGATACATCGGTTCATCAGCTGCGTATCCAACAACGGATGGACATGCCCATCGGATCCGAAGAAGTCGTCAGTCTCGTTCTCCACACAACAAAGTCATGACCGAACTTATATACATAAACGAACACGCGCGCCGTGTATCTGGATGCGTGCACGCGTTTTGCATTCGCTTTACGAGCGTCTACTACGATTAATATTTACTGGATATGACAAAATGGCACTTTGAATTGAATGGCGGAACCGCGTTCCCCGGAGGCCTCATCCGGGAGAACGAGTCGCGCGACGTTCACCCGTCGATGGCGCAGTCTGACGAGTTCTCACGCGTTGCCATCACTTCCTGCGACACTAAGCCGTGCTCTGTGTGTGTCTACTCTGCCTCCGTCTCCTCCTCCTCCCCCTCCGCTGCTGCCACTACTGCCGCCGCCGCCGCCGCCGCCGCCGCCGCCGCCGCCGCCGCCGCCGCCGCCGCCGCCGTCGTCGTCGTCCTCGTCGCTGCCACCGCCAGCTCGTCCCGGTTATCGATCCCTTCGTGAATCAAGACGGCGCGTCCAATTAACGGCACGACTGTGGAATGTTTACGCTCGCCGTTCGGGAAATACATGTCCGACCATACGCGACCCGCGGCGTTCGCGCGAGCTCGACCCGTCATCTCGGCGTGCAAGCAGCGATGGTTCCATCCTTGTCGCTCGCTCATTCGCGCGCACACACACAGCGCTCGCTCACTCCCACTTTTGTGTCGTATCTGCCGCCGCCGCCGCCGCCGCCGCACCACGTCGCGCTCGTACCCACCTTTAGAACGTAGCTTCACCCGCCGCGTACGCGCTGGACCGCACCGCGCTCCGCGACCACCGATCCGCGTTTCCGTATCCGTCTTCGCTCCGGATCGGTTCTTCTCTCGCGTATCTCCACGAGAGCAACGTTCTCTTTCTCTCTCACCTCATGAATCCCTTCAGCATCACTCCGTGCCCAGATCCCTTGTCCGTTGAAAAGCACGACGACTTTTCTCCGTCACGAAATACGTTAAAAAAACACTATCCTTTCTTCTCCCACACCTTCCTGCTTCTCCTCTCCCGTTCCTCCACACGTTTCTACTCTCTTCTGGTCGACGCTCCGCTCGCCGCAGGCCACCAAAGGCCACACCTTACCGCAAGCGTCCTTCCGTCGAGAATGGAGCAGCGGCGCTCGGCGCGCCGCGCGCAAGGGAGACACGGGGCCGATGTGCGACGTGATTCGTCGCCAGTCACGTGAGCTCGCCCGATCAGCCAATCGTCGTGCGGACTGACGTCAGTTCATTGACAAAAGATGTTTTCATTAACGAGGCGTGGGTAGTGGATGGGTCGGGGGTCGGTGCTGACTGAAGCCGTCGTTGAAGCGGTCGGAGTAAGCTTCACGAAGGTCGGTGGGGAGCGCGGCGGTACACGTTGCACGTTACACGCTCACTCTCACGCGTGCGTAGGCCGTTGTATTATCACAAGTCGAGCGCAAGAAGGAGAGAGCCGGTATGCCTTCTCGTTCCGACATGCACGCACACTTGCGTGCATATGCTGCTAGCCAACAGGACCGACATCGACGATGCCATCACCCGACGCCGACGTTCCTTTTAGGTTAGTTCCTTCTCTATCTCCTGTCTCTTTCGGCGGAATCAATATCGCCACTTTCCTCTTAATATCCTATTTTGTACATGTGCATACATATGTATGTAATTAACTCCTCCGTTTTAACGCATCGAGTGTCCTTCGTTTATCACAATTACTACATTTGTCCCAGACATTTTACGACATTGTCTGGGATTTTTATCAAGATGTCGTCGGGAATGGTAATTATTTGTAAACAGTACAATTGTATTATCATCGTGTTTGTCTCTGATCGATAACTCGTAATATCGCGTGCTACGCGGTTGTGTAATGATATCGACGTTCTCGCGTAGTACGTTTAAGCCCATACAGCTCGCGTAGTACTATATACTTACCAACGATTTCGCAGATATATGACAAAGCAATGACCTCACGGGATCAATCCCGGCTTTCGTGGAAGCATACATGCACGTCTCTAACGTGACATGTGCATATTTGATATAGACAATTTTTAAAACACAGAAATACATTATGACAATTATATTACATTGACGTTACAATGACCAGTACAACAGCAGAGAAATCGTAATAAAATATGTGCAAAATGAGGAAGAGAGATATTTGTAAATTACAGAGTAATCTGAAATGGAGAAAGATATTGATATTGATAAATCTATCTGTCATTTGAAAACTTAAGCAATAATGATATATCTGTGTATGCTCTATCCTGTTATATACCTAAATAGTTCACGAAATAACACTTTAAAAGAGTATAGTACAAAGTACGGAAAATGTATTGATTACTGGTGGTGTTTATAATTGGTGGTTATGCTAGGACTAAGAATCATGATAATATCAATTATCCATTAATTCATGTTGCAACGCATTGAATCATTAATTGAAATGCATTGTAATTATAATATATTACACGGAAACACATTGTTTGTGATAGACGAGCATGAAATAACGTCATAAATTACTAATGACAAGCCTTAATCGATTGCTCGAATTTTATTCTCCATTAACACGAAATTTTCTATTCTAGTTGAGCAAAATATATGGATATTGCATACAAAATGTTCGATAATAAATACACTCTATGCATGCGCGATGTTTCTTGCTAAAAACAATTTGTTCCTAACAAAAGCAATCAAACATGAATAGACCAAGTTAAAAAAAAAAAGATTGTAATGAATTGCACATTTCAGGAGCGCGACAAAATCTTGTACTTTAATTTTAACAACTTTATTAATTCACTGTGAGTCCAGCCAAGATATAATTAGCAAAATGCACTAAAAGTTAAAGTTATTTAAATAAGAATAACTGTGGCATCCAATTAAGTTCTAACGAAAGAAAAATGGTTTTAATTTTCAATGAGAAGCGATACTCTGTTCACTCAATGCGCTTATTATTGCACATTCTGTGTACAGTTACATATGCGATAGCCGTAGCTAAAGGGTTTAAAGTCAAAGCATGCGGGAAGATGTGCCATCGAGTGATACGGCCTTGGCCCTTGCCGTTTACGCGAAGCTTGTCCTCGACTCACCCGTTCACCGTGCTCGGCACAGCTCGGCTCAGCTCGCTTGTTCATTCTCTCCTCTGTCTCTCTCACTCTTTCGCGAGAGAGGGCACGACAGCCTATCAGATGGCTGTGCCAGGCGTGGGTCGGCATTCCATTCATTTGGGCCGCTGTCGTTGAAGATTTTCGCGTTCGATCACGCGGGCGGCCGTCGGGGTGGAGCCGCCGCCGCCGCTTTATTGCGCTTAAGCGTGCGCTCGGAAGCAGCCGTGAGGGTTGAAAGAGGCAGCATAAAGGCGGGGGAAGGGGCGAAACGTTCGTTGGAGGGTGGATTGGCGAGGGTGGAGGGAAATGGGATAGAGAATGAGGGCTACCAGCGGAGAGGACGAGAGAAGGGGATCGGAATAGGGCCGCGGGCGTCTGTGACCTTCCGCGAGTATCCGACGCGTGCCGACGAATTGGATTCGATCCGCGTGGGTGCCGGATAAGGTGAGCACCCGGTACACCATCCGCCCTCCCCCTCCCCCTCCCACTCCCCGCGTGCGCGCGCGTGCTTCTCTCACTCGCCCTAACATCAATAACGAACACTCGGTGTTGCGGAGGCTTTAACATTAAAGTGGAAGAGGGAGATTCGCACGTATAATCGCGGAAGCCTTCCCTCGAATCCTCGGATCTGTCTTATATCGATTTTCCATATTCGATAATCAGCTTAATTGAACTCGCCGAACGTTTTTCCGTAAAGAAGAAGATATATACGGGATAGGGTGGAAGTTCGAGACATCGAGATATGATTTTCCACATGCGTAATGATAATATATAAATCATGTTTATATCACTGGAAAAATTCAAAGCTAACAACGATGAACGTAGCTCGCAAAATTAAATGTCTAATTTAACGGATATCATAGATACAATAAGTATATTTCATATTCCCGTTTTATATTCTCTTTTATATACACTTTGTAAGATATAATTGAAATTTGCATTTTACCAGAAAAAACGTAAAGGAGGTAAAGAAAGTATCAATTATATACATAATTCCATTTCCCATCTTTAAATTTTTAATCTCGTAAAATCATTTTTCAAATTGTATGCGATGTACAATATCCTTGCTGTTATAAAAAATAAGTAAAGGAAAAAATGCTGTTATACGCACTGTATGTACTGCACAGAAAAATGTATATTTAGACACAAATTTTGGACAAAATTTTAGCCGTTTGAAAATGTGAAATATTTTGAAACGTGGACGATACACAAATTCTATCTATACGCGATGTACAGGCTTTTGCGATTACGTTCTTTACAACAGTATTTGAAATATAAATAATTTACAAATTACAATGAAATACGTGGGAGTAGGATAACAATTCCAGATGGAAACAACAGAGCAACGTTCTAATTGTGACAACAACGACTGTCATTGTTTACTCGATACTTGGTTTCTTTTCTTCTCTTTCTCTCTCCCTTTTGTCAGTTATTGCGGAATGTGCAATTAAAAATTAACGGAAGAAACAGGACGTGGGCGATACACTCTATTGGTGCACGAGCAAAAGGTCTTGCACGATGAATTAATAACGAATCTCATTGGAGAGCAATATACAAAATTCACGAGGACTCGCTCGAGTGGCTCTAAAACTGATTTCGAGAAATTATGCTATTCGATCGTATAATTATAATTCGCGTTATGGATTCAACTTTAACGCGGTCGTTGTCGATAATGCATATCAAAGGAATAAAAGAACGTGTAGGATGTTAAACTTCAACTTTTTACGTTAAAATTTTTCGTGGAAACACAATAACAATCAGAATTTTATCAAATATTGCAATTGCGTCACCGGAAACACCTACACGTTGTATCGTACAATCTAACAAAGTTATATCACAGCGGTGTAGTATTTTAGCGCTAACAGTTTCAGCACCTTTTTTACTCGACAATTTTTTTTCAATTGATTATAAACGAGCAAAGGTATAAGAAAAAAAAAACACAAAGAAGCAAAAAAAGGGAAAAGTTGTTTAAAAAGATATCAGAAGCTAAAAGGAATGCATGGAAATATGAGAAAATAAAAATTATTGACAACAAGTGTCTCTCGTTCTCGCCGTTTATGGACACACGACGATACATAATTAGCGTCTATCGGTCTATTTTATCACGCAGAGGTATTTTTGCTGCTGACAAATTTGACTCGACAGGACATCGGATATTTCCTGCTACCGTTCTACGCCCTCGTACGCTCGTGACGTGGGTATATGTGACAGCTATAGTGACACGGCGTCATACCTCAATCGTGACCTTTCAAAACAAAGTACTCTCACTTGCTATCTGTGTATTCGCT